ATAAAACATCACATTCAACCAATAATTATTTCATTTTTTCTCTCACAAAAGTCAAAAAGTCTATCACAAACGAGACTTTTTAACCCTAGGCTAAAATAGCTAAAAAATCAAAATGCCAACACACATTCCAAACCAACCCTAAATATTTTTTTAAGCAATGTATGTAGTATTGTTGAAAAAGAAAATGATATTAACATTTACTCTCCTATAGGAAATATTATTTTCCTAAAAGAAAAAAAAATAGAAAAAAATTTTAAAATTCAAATTTTAGATTGTGAGAGGCATAACAAGGGATGGCTTTCCAAAAAAACGAATGCGAAAGAATTTATCAAAAGGAATTCGGGATGACAAGGGATAATACATCAAGACAGAGATATTATTTCATGTTTTTGGGGCATGATCAGGTAGTTTTGGAAGTGAAATCTACAATTTTGAGAGAGAGAGAAATAAACATTGGATTTGCTTTAAAAATTAAATAATGTTTGAAAAGTGGTTATTTCAAATAATTTTTTAATTTTTTTTTATGAAAAGACGTATAAATAATGTTTGATGTGATTTCGTTTAGAAATAACTTTATTAGCTTGATTTTTTGGTTTTTTGAATTTTAGCTTGGGTAAAAAAGTTTTATTTGGAATAAACTTTCGATTTTTTTGTAGTTTTGTGAGAAAAAAAATAACATAATTTGAATGTGATATTTTGTTTTATTATTTTTTAACCTATTTTATTATTTAACGGGCTAAATTAGTTTCAACCATGTTATCAAATGGGAACGGGGTGCTTTGACTCTTTGGTTATTTTAACTAAAAAGCTAAGTTGCAGGACTTTCAAATATCTCTTACTTTTATAATAAGGCCTCGTTTGGAAATATGCTATTTTAGTAATTTTTTAATTTTTTTACTAAAATATGAGGTAAAAAAAATTAGTATGTTTGGGATGACTTTTTGACTTTTTACGAAAAAATGTGCAAAAAGTAAAGAGAAAATGGAATGTTTGCCTTTTTGGTATAGGTTATAGGCTTTTTGACTTTTTTAGTAACTTTTTGATTTTTTGACTGAAATATTAACTTGCCAAACGAGGCCTAAATCTACTATTATTTTAAAAATATGAAGAACACATGTTTTTAACATTTTTTCTGTCCTGAAAATACCTTTCCAAATTTATTAAACATCATATATAGTAATCTACATTTACCAAACAACCGAACACTTTCCAAAATTGAAACACCTTCATATATTATAATATGATTATTTTTTTTAATAATTCAAAGACTTTTCTACTTTTCTTCTATTCCGAAAATATTATTTTTATTATTAGATTTGAATGAAACGACAAACAGAAGCATTGCCAAATCCTAAAAATACTCTCCCAAACTTATTAAACATCATATAACAACCAACATTTACCAAACAACTAAATATCTTCTAGAACGCAAACACCTCAACCATGATAATATGATTATTTTTGTAGCAATTCTACTGTTTTTCTATTTTTTTTTTCAATTTCAAAAATACCCTATTTATAATTGGATTTGAATAAGACAGCAAGCATGAAATATTGCCACATTTGAATGAAAAGACACGTATCTACTACTATAACAAGAGAGTGGCTTATCTTTAGTTTATCAAAAAATTAGACTATCCAATCTTGTAAATGAGATGATGCCACTTCATCATTTTGTTAACTGTTCAAATTGCATGGAAGAAAAAAGGTAATGGTTTTGTCTCTCGTAAGTATCATGTTCGGCGACGTCCCTCCTCATGGTTTCCCTTTCTTCCCTCACCCATGGTTAGCGCAACATCGTTTCTTGCCATATACCCATTCCTCATCCATTTGACCACATATAAAAAAAAAAAAAAACACCTTTGTTGAATATGAAGAGAGAAAATAATTGAAGATATGAATGGTTACACTAGAGCATGGGTTGCAAATTAGTTGGTGAGGATTTGGTTAATACTTGATAAGATTAGCTAGAATATGGTGGTCATGACGTGCATCAAAAGTTGTTGAAGGAAATTGCATCAATTGGTTGCCTTCGACAATAGTCAGAGTTCACATCTCAAGTGAAGGTGAAAGGTCTTGGGGCTGCGATGGGTGGAGATGACACGGTTATGAGTGAGCGGAGAAGAAGTTGTGCAATAGAGGAAAGTGATTTATCAACGGCGAGGAGCTATCAGGAGGTTCAAAGATGATGTTATCAACATCGTCATCTGATTCAAGAGTCGTTATGGCATTGCCATTGACGAGCAGTACCTCCTTGGCATGACTAGCTGGAGAGTTTCTCAAACACTCCTTTGCAGAAAACATTCATTTATTCAAAAAGTGAATGAGAAATTAGACTCCCAAATTTAATCATTTACAAATATATAATTTATTCTATAATCATGTTGAAATTCAAAATTTGAATTTATTTATAGTTACCAAAAAGATTGAAAGCTTCTTTTTCTTTTATTTATTATTATTTTAATTTCTTTTCTTTTTTTTTTGGGAAAAAGTTAGTTTGCTGTTGGACTTTAATAGTGTTTGGTTAATATATTATTTTCGATTGAATCTCTATTGATATCTCCTATCAAATTAACCAAAAAAAATACGGTCACTATATATAATAATATAATCTAAAAGGGGTTAATTTAGACTCAAACTAGTGCATCGGTTATAATTACAATCAATATGCTTTTATTTATTCGAATTTTATTTATTTATTTTATTTTATTTTTTTTTTGATACATGAACAGACCATACCTTTAAGACAAATTCTTTTCATTCTCACTCTGTGGTTCCATATGGTTGCATAAAAAATTTTATTTTATATTTTCTATTCAGATACACAGATATTACTCACAATAATAAAAGGATAAATCAAATGATAGTCAAACATCATGACCATAACTTAATAGCGCAAAATAAGTCCATTACATTAATTCTTTGATAAATTTTAACATATAAATTACTTATGATTCGTATGAAAGATTTTGATAATATAAATTGATAGTAAAGATGAATACACTCATAACAATGTGTCTATAAATATCAACAAATTACTTTTGCAATTTCTATATGGATCGAAATATTAAGGCAAAATTCATTTTCTTACAAAATAAATTTCATACATTTTCTGCATGAACAATGAATGATTCGTATGAATAATGGCCTTGTTTGGGAAGTTGCATTTTAATTGGCTATTTTAACCTGGCTAAAAAAATTGTGTTTAGAAAGTTGTTTGGTTTTTATTTTTTTCGTAGTTGATTTGATAGTTGTGAGAGAAAAACTGAAATTATTACGGGTTAGATGTGACATTTTGTCTTATTGACTATTTTAACTCATTTTATCTATTAGTGGACTATTTTAACCCAACCATCTTCCCAAACAAGGCCAATGTTACCTTTCTTATTATGCAGAAGATTCACTACATAAGGAAACCAATCCCAAAAACTCTTTATTCGTTTTTTTTTTTTCTTTCTTTTTAGTAACATTCTATATTTAAGAACTTATTTATTGTATTTGTAAAATTTATATATGTTAGATTTATTCACGATTTTACTAAATTATCTATACAATTACAAAAGAGTGCATTAGTATGCTCACTTTATTTTAAAATTTGTTCTCTATATTTGAAGTTACAAAATTTTTTAAAAATTAATTACATTACATTAGATTAGATGAAAAAAGTTGCACGTGCACCTCACTAGTTAAAATAAATTTGTAAACAATTCAATTCAATTACATTAAATAGCTGAATATAATTGGTTTAAGCTCATATCCAGTAGTTCATCAATTATTTCATCAAATTTAAATTTGATAAAAAATTATCATTTTTTCTATTCTAATGGTTTCATCCAATGAGTACACCAAATTGAGAATATCTGAGAGCTTTTATCATTGTGTTGTTCATAGTTGTTATATTTTTACCACTAGATGTTCTGGATGACCACCTTTTTACAAAAAATTGTGAAAAAATTATACTGACCGATCGACTAGTGTTTTGATAAAAGTTTAACATGCTCCATTAAAACACTTAGACCATCTCCAACGGTTCATCAAACCTGGTATCAAATTCAAAATTTGATGAAAAAGTCACTTTTTTGAGCTCCAACCGTTGCACCAGATTGATATCAAAATGAGATTTCAGCAAAAAAAGCATCAAACTGAGAACGAGACACAGATGTTACCAAATCACTGTTACTGACCGTTTAAAAGAGGTACACCGGTCAACCAGCCGGTTGCCCGGCCGGGTGACCACCCTGTCAACCAGTAAAGATTCAAACAGTTCAGGAAAAAAAGTTCAAACCGTTAAAATAAAAAAATAAAAAAAATTTTTGCCTAACCGGTCAACCGGCCGGTCGACCACCCGGTCGTCCCGAAAAAAGTTCAGAAAGTTCAAAAAAAAGTTCAGACAATTTGCGAAAAAAAAAAAAAATTTTTTTTTGCCTAACCGGTCAACCGGCCGGTCGACCACCTGGTTGTCCCAGGATAGATTTGGTGAAAGGTGAACCGTTGGAGTGAGTGGTATCAAATTGGGTGAAATAGATCATTTTTTATTCATATTTAGTGAAAAATTTGAGTCACCGTTGGAGATGCTCTTAATCAAATAAAATTTTTACTCAAATTTAATTAAAAAAAAATATATACATTATTGTTGGAGATGCTCTAAGGATATATCCACGCCACATGTTGCCCGTGAGGCACAGAGTAATTTTCATGAACACGAGATGGGGAACTTGCAAATCTTAGGATAGAGATAGAGTGACTTGGCTAATGGTGGGCGTTTTTTAAACAACAACAACGCACCCGCAACCATGACGCCACTTTGGAGTGAGTGGTAATGGGTCATTTTTGATTCAGATTTGGTGAAAAATTTGAGTCACCGTTGAAGATGCTCTTAATCAAATAAAATTTTTACTCAAATTTAATAAAAAAAAAATATATACATTATTGTTGGAGATGCTCTAAGGATATATCCACGCCACATGTTGCCCGTGAGGCACAGAGTAATTTTCATGAACACGAGATGGGGAACTTGCAAATCTTAGGATAGAGATAGAGTGACTTGGCTAATGGTGGGCGTTTTTTAAACAACAACAACGCACCCGCAACCATGACGCCACTTTTTCAGATCCACAATCTATTTGTTACTACTTTCTTTCCTTCTTTCCTTACTATGGCGATCCTCCAATAGACCAAAACACACTACTGTCCCATTCACTATACAAACAAACACCAATTATGGAGTCCGAACTCAAAGACCTCAATCCCAAACCAATCTCCCAACAACAACAACAACAACAACAACAAACACTTCCCGAACCCATCGACGATCGCTCCACCAAAGACGACTATCCCCTCCTCCTCAAGCCCGCCGTCAACATCGAAGAGCTGGAGAAGAAATTCGCTGCCTACGTCCGCAACGATGTCTACGGCACGATGGGCCGCGGCGAGCTTCCCTGGGCCGAGAAGTTCCTGCTCGGAATCGCCCTATTGACGCTCGTCCCCATCCGCGTGGTCGTCTCACTCACGATTTTGGTGGTCTACTACTTGATTTGTAGGGTTTGTACTCTATTCTCGGCGCCTAATCGGGAGGAGGAGGATCAGGAGGATTACGCTCACATGGGAGGGTGGAGGAGGGCCGTGATTGTTCGGTCCGGGAGGTTTCTTGCGAGGGTCATGCTTTTCGTTCTAGGGTTTTATTGGATTAATGAAACTTATCGGAATCTAGACATCTCTGAGGTAGAAAATTGACTAGCTTAGAGTTTGTTTAACATCACTAAACACTTTTTCTATTTCCTATGCATATATCTCTACTGGGAGAGTTTTGGGTGTAATTTGACTCTTAAGTTGATGACAATAAAATATTGACGATGATAACTCCCAATAGTTGCATCGGATTTGACGATGCAAGTATCATAAATATGTTGCTTACGTAAACCTTAATTGAACCCAAAGGGATGGCCTGGTGGGGGCAGCTTGGGGCATGGGGTGTGCTCCCTCCACGGTCAACTCCTTAGGGCCATGCTCACGGGCTTTGTTCGAGATTTATCCAATTCACTTGGAGAGAGCGTTTTGTGTGTGTTTTGGAATTAGTCGAGGTACGCGTAAGCTGACCTGGACACCCGGTCAGCAAAACAAAGTAAACCTTAATTGGCATACTTTACTTTACCCTCCTATACTTTAGTTTTTTCACTTCAATGGTACAAATGGTGCACTTTAGTTCACAAATCATATGAGGATTTTGTGGTTATTTTCAAATGTCAATAGGGTAAAATGAAATTTGCCCAAACTTAATATATTTGCACTGTTGTCTACTATCTCTGAGATATTAGATTGACCCTTATAATTTGGAAATGATATGATATGCTTAGGATTGATTTTAGAAAGTATGGATATGTTTAGGAGTATGCGGGAAAGTACAATTTCCTTAATTTGCTTATTTCAAGAGAGAAGTTGATTTTATTTGAAATTTCTTTCTTAATTAAATAGAATTTGATGCATAGGTTTTGACCCCGCTATCATTTATTGCTTCCATAAAATGCATTGATTTTAAGAATTGGTGCCTTGAGAGTTGAGAACAAGCGAAGTCTAATTTGTAAGGCATATAATGAGAGTAGCTGAAATATTAAAGAATATGCGGCATATTGAAAGAAGTATATGATAGCAAGGCTTAGGGTTTATGGATATTGCTCCATCAAGCATTCTATGCTCAACTCATGTTCATTGCTGCATCTGTCCTCTAAACCTTTCCTAGTTGTATTGTTGTATTTATGTATTGCACATCTAGATGTTGAATGTCACCTCTCTACTGCCTTAACATTTTTGGGGAGAAAATTCAGTCCCAGACCAGTTTCATAATTGTTAAAACTTATGATTCACCACCAAATTTGATTAATTTTTATTTTTCCTCCCATCTTATCTGATGCATCTGAAGATGTTGTAGATTGTGTTGCAAATGACATGGTTGTCATCAATCAGATATATGTGGAACCATTATGCTCAGATATATGCGTGGAACAACTATGCTCTGTTTATGAATTATGGTCTACCAAGATGAAATCATTTTAAGGTTCATTTGGAGAGATGTGTATTTCAAAGCAAGGGATTTGATCTTAATCATTCAAGGACAACAACTGAAATTTAAAATATGATAGTTTACTTTTGAATTTTAAGATTGAGTTGAATAGCTTAATCTTGATGGATTTGAAATCACCATATAAAAATTTCAATCATGCTAAGGTTTCTTTTTCTAACTATAAGGATCCATGTGTTTGTCTTCTATCTGAATTTATCTTCTTTCAGTATTTTTCTATGCATTTAAGCTCAAATCTCTTGATTTGAAATCCACAATTATCCAAACGAACCCTTAATAATTTTTGTATTTTTTGCATTGCTTAATTATTGTGGAGCCTAATATGACAAGCACATTTGGAAATGATTTGTCTTGGTTAATACTTCCTTAATTTTTTCTCTTGGAGGCTAATTAGGGCAGTATGCTGATCTTTTGATTCCTTTTTGTTTATTTTCGCTCTTTCTTCTGCCAGACTGAGTGCAATGATCTATCTGAAGAACCTAAAAGACCTGGGGCTATCATATCTAACCATATATCTTATTTGGATATATTATACCACATGTCTTCCTTCTTCCCAAGTTTTGTTGCTAAGGTGCGTCAACTTGTTTCATTACGGAATTTGTTGTGACCAAATGATTTGCATATGCTGTGCTTGAGATTATGTTCAAACTTTTGGCATCGGAACTGACACATTTCTGTGTTGTATGTTGATCTTAACCCCTGGATTCTGGAATTTATTTTTGCTGAAGAGATCAGTGGCTAAACTTCCTCTAGTTGGTCTCATAAGGTTAGTTCACATCATCTTACTTATTTAATCATGTTGTCTTGGCTTCTTATACCAAGATAAATATATGACTAGGGTGTTTGATTGCTGTATTAAATAGAGAGGGATAAGAGGTGGGGGAACATGTGGGCTCCACTTGATTTTTAATAACATGTTTGATTGCGGGACAAGGAGGGGGGATTATAGGTTGGGAACATTTAGACCCCACTTGCTTTTTTAGTCTTACTATGGTTTAGCAATCTAAAAATTTTGTATAATTTTAATACTAGTATAAGGGATTAAATGAAAATCATGGGGATTTCCGATTATTTTCCTCCATCATCGAACGGTTGAAATAATTATATATTTTTATCCCATCCTAACCAAACATATTATCCCACCCCCTCTATCCAATCCTTAATCCCATTTATTTATTCCATGGTATAACTTATCTCCCATAATCTTATCCATAATCCTATCATCTAGTTTATCCTTCGCCCCATTTATGGTATAATTTATCCACCACAATCGTATCAATAATTCCATTCATATCAATCCCACAAAAAATAATCTGGCAATCAAACATGGCATGGTAGTATTATTTTCTTATTCAAAATGGGAAACTCTTATTAGGCATCCTTGTTCTATTGACTCGATAAATTCAAGCACTTGTCGAAACTTCAAAATTGATTATTTGAAAGCCATTCAAAATGAGTAGAAGGTAGCATTTGGTGTGATAATCTATGTTTCCTTGCTCTAAAATAAAGAATAGCTAAGAAGCACGGACACGGACACGCGACACGACACGCGACACGACACAGACACGCAAAAACGCAAATTTTCAAAAAATAGGGGACACGACACGCCGGGGACACGTTCAATATATATAATTAATTTTATTTATTATATGTCATAAAATTATTAAAAAAAATCAAATAAAGGTAATAAAATATACAAAATAATACTATTAAAATTATAAAAAATAAACATTTAATTGATTTAACATCATATATATCGTTCACAATTAACATAAAATAGCATTCCATCAATACATAACATGTCATTCGAAGCTACCAACCATCATTTGTTACAAAATGCATGAAAATCAAACCACAAAATATAAAATTATCCAATGTACCAACAACTATTACAAAATCCATAAATATCAACCTAAGTAAAGGAAACTATTACAACATCTTCACCACCGCCTCCATCTTCTCCTTCATCTGTAAATAGGACCGCCCCCATAGCCGGTTCATCAAGTGAGAGGTTAGCTATCCCAAGCATTCCAATATCATCAAGTGAGTAAAGTTATCTCCGGCAATATCCCACATTTTTGTCTCTCCTTGCAAGTATTGGGAGCTCCTCCTTGATAAAAGACGAAGATTGCTATGAATGAACACCAAATCCTCCGCGCGTTGAGGGACCATCTTGTTCCTTCTCACTGAGTGAATAAAGGAGTAAGTACTCCAATTTCTCTCACAACAAGATGAAGAGGCAGGTTGCACAAACAATCTCAAAGCTAGTTTTTTAAGAGATGGTGCATATGCACCATATGCACACCACCAAGTATAAGGATCCATGTGCCACCTATTATGAATGGAATCATACTCTGAGAATGCTTCAACATAACCCGAAAATTTTCCAAACTCAGTTATCACCTTGGTTCGCTCCGTGATATCTTCAAAATACATGGTCACCTACTTCAAAGGATAAGGGTCGTCTCCTCTTATCTGCATGGCACTTTTGCCAACTTTGTGTTGTGATTCACCTCCTCCGAATGAGAGTTATTTTTTCTGTGGTCTCGCGAACTAAATCTAGACCAAGCGTGGGTGAATCTCCTACTTCACTCTAACACATGGAGGATCTACATGGACACCCATACAAAGGCTTAACATGTGCCATCTCAACACTAGCTTGAAAACAGTTGTTATAGGCAAACTCAGCTAATGATAGATATTTCTTCCATGACCCTTTGAAGTCAAGTACACAGGCTCTCAACATGTCTTCTAAGATCTAACATAGTAAGGATTTCTTGCAAGATTAAAAGGTACCCCCCCCGAGTAGAACATCCTAGCAATTTCAAAATGCAATTGCTCTCTATCCTTCAAGTTGAATGCTTTCTCAATAGCACTCCCACTCCCACTCCCACTCCCACTCCCAGGCGCACTCCCACTCCCACTCCCACTCCCACTCCCAGGCGCACTCCCACTCCCACTCCCACTCCCACTCCCAGGCGCACTCCCACTCCCACTCCCACTCCCACTCCCAGGCGCACTCCCACTCCCACTCCCACTCCCACTCCCAGGCGCACTCCCACTCCCACTCCCACTCCCACTCCCAGGCGCACTCCCACTCCCACTCCCACTCCCACTCCCAGGCGCACTCCCACTCCCACTCCCACTCCCACTCCCAGGCGCACTCCCACTCCCACTCCCACTCCCACTCCCAGGCGCACTCCCACTCCCACTCCCACTCCCACTCCCAGGCGCACTCCCACTCCCACTCCCACTCCCACTCCCAGGCGCACTCCCACTCCCACTCCCACTCCCACTCCCAGGCGCACTCCCACTCCCACTCCCACTCCCACTCCCAGGCGCACTCCCACTCCCACTCCCACTCCCACTCCCAGGCGCACTCCCACTCCCACTCCCACTCCCACTCCCAGGCGCACTCCCACTCCCACTCCCACTCCCACTCCCAGGCGCACTCCCACTCCCACTCCCACTCCCACTCCCAGGCGCACTCCCACTCCCACTCCCACTCCCACTCCCAGGCGCACTCCCACTCCCACTCCCACTCCCACTCCCAGGCGCACTCCCACTCCCACTCCCACTCCCACTCCCAGGCGCACTCCCACTCCCACTCCCACTCCCACTCCCAGGCGCACTCCCACTCCCACTCCCACTCCCACTCCCAGGCGCACTCCCACTCCCACTCCCACTCCCACTCCCAGGCGCACTCCCACTCCCACTCCCACTCCCACTCCCAGGCGCACTCCCACTCCCACTCCCACTCCCACTCCCAGGCGCACTCCCACTCCCACTCCCACTCCCACTCCCAGGCGCACTCCCACTCCCACTCCCACTCCCACTCACACTCCCACTCCCACATGTTCTCCTCTTCTTTGATTCATAAGCATAACTACTACCCACTGATACAGTGGAAGGAGGCAATGGTACATTTTTGGGAAGAGCATTTTTAATTCTCAGCTCAGCAGCATCATTCTCATTTTGTAGTTGTGAAAGTTTTTGACTTGTCACTTTCTTACAAGCACCAATTCCCTTTCCTGGGAGTTTTAACAAGTGTGCCCTTACTCTTGTATATGAACCTTTGAAAGTATTATTACAAAATTTACATTGTAATTGGTAATTTCCTCCTCCTTCCCCAGGTTTTGCTAATTTAGTTATATACTTCCACAATGGTTTATTCTCATCAAAATCATCATCAGGTATATCATTAGAACTACCACCCGTAGCCATTGTTTCAGAATTAATAATTGGTCCCTATAATAAAATTAATAAACATACATTATTAAAATTATATCCTCAAATAATAGAAAAGAAAAAATAAAATCAGAATATAAAAAAAATAAAAGAAAAGAAAAAATAAAATAAAACAAAATCAGAATCAGAATTAAAGAAAAAGAAAAGAAAAAATTAAATTAATAAAAGAAAAAAAATAAAAGAAAAAAATAAAATCAAAATCAAAATAAAAGGAAAAAAAAATGAAATAAAAGAAAGAAGAGTCTGAGACAGAGAGAGAGAGAGCTATCGAAGAGAGAAATAAAAGAAAGAAGAGGCTGAGAGAGAGCTATCGAAGAGAGAGGGAGCGATCGAAGAAGATCGAAGAAGAGTCGTACCTTCCTTAACGAAGCAGCAAATCGACTGAAGATCGCACGAAGAAGATCGCCGACTGACGACAGACGACCGACGACAGACGACCGACGAGGAGCAACGATCGACGAGAGACGACGTACGACGAAGTCAGGTCCTCTCTCTTTCTCAGCTGTTTATCTTCTATTCCAAAGTCGATTCGAAGAGATTAGGGCGAATAGTAGATTAGGACAAATTTGATCTGTTTTTGGTTATTTTCAAATTGACCCCAACAAATTTTAGTAAACTGTGAAATTGCCCCCGCGCGTGTCCCAAACGTGTCTATAACGTGTCCAAAACGTGTCCGGATGTAAAAAAATTTATAAAAAAATGGGACACTCAACCATGCGTGTCGGACACGTGTCCACCGCGTGTCCGTGTCCGACCGTGTCTGACACTGGTACGGAGCCCTCGGAGAGGTGTTCGTGCTTCATAGAAGAACAGTTGTCTATTGAAAAATCTTATCCACTTCGAGTTGCCACAATTCATAGAGAAAAAGGGGTGGGGGATTGAAGATTATGATACCCCAAAGTAATGTGTTCTAATCCTGGTTCGTTAACTTCTTCCATTTCATTGCTTTAAGAGGTCCATTGTGTTGTTATTTTGGAGAAGTTTATTCTTACAATTGGATAAGAGTCCAATAGCTCAGGTTGAAGATGGTTTTGTCTTGCACCTTAGTCCAATTCCAATTAGTATTATTAACTGTTGGACATGTTAAATTCAGTTTTTGAGAGCTTAAAATTCAAGATATCATTTTTTTTGTGTTTAAATAGATATGGCCAAGTGTTAGGCATCTGTTCCTGTGTTCTTGATAGAACTTTTTATGCCATATTTTTATGTTGGTAGTTTTTCTGTCATCTTTTTCTTCTAATAATTATTTAATTTTATGCATATATTTGCTTTATTATGTTGCAATTAATTTTCTGAGAGCGCCTTTGATTGTTATTTATTGCTTTCTGCAGCAAGTGCCTCGGTTGTGTTTTTGTTCAACGGGAGTCAAAGTCATCCGACTTCAAGGGTGTTTCTGGTACATAAATCTTTGATATCTATACTTATGTAGAATATTGACGAAGAATAAGTACCTTACTTGACATATCCTGTTATATTTCTTTCTGTAATGTTGTTTGTAAGAATGGTTTCAAGACAAATAGACATCATATATACATATCATATACTTCCATGAGAAGAGTTAGATTAAAGCCGATGTTCATATCACAAGACTGATATTAGAGCATCTCTAGTGGTGTAGTATTTTCATTGCTATTTTGGCACAACAAAGTGTACTTTATACCAATTTACTACAAGTTGTTCCAGCAGTGTGTGGTATTTACTGTGCTGAAATAGCATGGGTGCTCCAATAGTATATTGTTTTCTGTGCTATTTTTTATTCATTTGCCTATCAACGCCCATTCTTCAATCCAACGTTTTGAAACCTGGACGGTTGGTGAAATTGGAAAAGTGACTGCGTCACGGGTTACCAGTTCAACCGTCGGGTGAACCAGAATCAAACCATGACGTCATAATTACCTAATAAATATATTAATAATTGTTTAAAATTTTTTTTTTTTGAAAAAAAGGAATTAAGATACATTCATTCAAAATTTTTATACTTTAAGATATATATAATTTATATAAATATGTTTACCAAATATATATATTTATACAAATGTTTTTATGTTACTATTGTTTGTAAAAATGTTAATTATAATACTATTTGAGAAAAATTCCATTGAATACAGTAAATAATATACATCCACTTTATATACTAAATGGGGAATGTTAGTCCAGTGGAAGTGCATTGCCTTCATACGCGCGAGGTGTCATGTTCAATTCCTCCAAGCAGCATTTTTTCAATGCCTAGAACCAGGTGTATTGAAGCCTAACTAGTCCGGCCAGTTCTCTCAACTCGGCTTCGGTTTGTCGGTTTATCCGGCTTCACCACATGTTTCACTAGTTTACTTGAAAGAAGCCGTTTTTTCAATCAAAATGGGTTTAGGGGTGTATCCGGACTGGAACCTAGTCTGGTTGACGGGTCAACTGGTCGAACAAGCTAGTCTGGTCCGGTTTTCAAACATTGCTTCAAGCACAATCTCTTAAATCATACTTCAATTCATTAATCTATGCCAAAGTTACAAAACAAATCAGTTTTTCCATAGATCAAATTTTAATCTTTTCATTTAATTTATTTGTTCGAAATTAACTCACTCACACAATTTCTCTTCACATAATATAGTTGTAATTAGTGATAAATTAAACTCCAATTATAATGGCATAAATGTAATTTTATAAATAAAAAATAACTGCTCAAAGGTCTAGTATAAAGCAACACAATGCTATTTCTTGTGCTAAATTTAGCACAAGCAATAACACCGTACTATTTTAACAAAACACATGGAGCGAGTGTTTTTTGTTGCATTGTGTTATTTTAGCATTGCTACACCTAAATACTACACTGCTGGAGAAGTTCTTAGGTAATTAAAGAATTGGCATATTATTCCACTTTGAGATGTAGAAAATTACAGGTTTCTAAAATAAGGATTATTCTAATAATTGTCCATCGATTTTGTGTGTGGGGAAGTAAATGACCAATTTTTGGCTTTAGTGCATGGGCATAACTATGGGATGTTTAAAACTGATGCTGCCATGATTTTCAAGATAGGAGAAGTTGATGCAGCTAAGGCATGACACTGTAATTTATGCAACAGCCATAGAAGTTTGACTTATCTTTTTAATAACTGATAGTAATTAGTTTTCATAGTGAATATACAGACAATTAATGAATTTTAAAATATATCTAATACATTTCAAAACGCATTGGGGGTGCCTTTTTTGTGCTATCAACTCTATGGGATAAGTTTGTTTTACAGATTGATGGTTGTAATGGTGTGGGCCATGTCCAAATTAGACAAGGGGCTGCTGCGCTCATCATATATGGGGAAAAATAATAAAAGGAAAAAATATGCTTCCACTCTGTAGTATAGACATTTTGAGCTATTAGTTGTGAAATAATTCAGACAAAACCTTTTTGTCTGACAGTATTATACTGTCTGTCTTTTACTGCTCATAAAGCCAAGAATTCAATGGTCGTATCTTATTGTGATTGGAATGTAATTGTATTGATCCTGTTGTTGTTTGCAGCTGTTGTCAATGAAAGAGTTCGAGAAGCTCATCAGAATAAGTTTGCTCCAATGATGATGCTTTTCCCAGGTTATTATTTTGATGCTGTCAGTATGGTGGTGTCTAATTGCCCACCAATGATGTGATCCATTTTGCTAACCTCATAGTACTCTGATTATTTCCGTCTACTTAATTTGGAGGACATTTAGAATGATTTGCAGATAATGGTTACATAAATGGATTAAATATATTGTAAAATCTAAATTTAGTGAAGAGATTTTCTTAGTTACCTTGTATTTGTTAGTTCTTCTGAATGCCTTACTATCTGCTTCTGCTGTGGTATATACTAGAAACTGTAAGGGCCCGTTTGTTTTGGGAGATAGAATGGATGGGATTGATAGTGAGGGGATTAATAGTGAGGGGATTGTTAGTGAGGGGATTAATAGTGAGGGGATTGTTAGTGAGGGGATTGATAGTGAGAGGATTAATAATGAGGAATTGTTAAATTATTTTTATATAAAATAATAAAACAAATAAAAAAATATAAAAAATTAAACATTATATTTAAAAAAAAATTCCCAATATATAAAAAATAAAAAAATTTCTAATCCCCTCACTATTTTCTAATACCATCTCTACCTCCTCCTTACCAATCCCCCTTCCAAGGGTATTAGCAATACCAAGGGACTAATAGTCCCAACCCTTTCTCTGCAAATAAACAGGGACTTTAGTAATACCTTGGTATTACTAGTCCCAATACTCTCCCTATAGACCAAAACAAACGGGGCCTAATTGTCAGACCAATGGAGTTCCTTATGTATCTACTAGTAATTTCATACTGATTTAGTTCCCTTCGTTGATTTGTAATATGTAGTAATACCAAAATTGATGTAGAAGCAGAGAAGGAGAAGAATAAAAAGGAGAGAAATCTGGGGACAGAAAAGGCACTGAGAAATTCCGATTCTTCATAATCAATCATGTCAATATCGTACACAAGTCATCAGTACACAAACTTGTCTAGATATGTAGTTACACAATGACCTATAAGGAAATATAAAAATTATAAACAAATCCAACAAATTCCTAACAAAACTACTATTCCTAAATAAACATAAACTTTCATAAATAGAATTCTAAATATTTTAAAATTTCTAAAAGAAATAGTAATATTCAATTTATGCTTCAACCAATTCTTTTATGTTCCCATTCACATATGGTTTCTCTTATGTGCATTAGGAATAGGATTTAAAACTACGTTGTAAAATATAGTGATTATATCACTATTCTCATATTATACCATTAGCATGCATGCTTATGTGGTAAATTCTGTCCAAGTATAATTTGTAAGTTTCGTAAGACTGGATAATGTACATATGCAAGTGTTTTCATTCGTAATATAAAGAAGATTTAATTTGTTTGTTTAAGTAATATTAGCTCTTTGATCTCTTAAATTTCTTTATATGAGGAGCATTGTATTAATTTGATAAATCCTTTCTTATAATTAGTGAAATCTTTGTGAGCATTAATCCTGTAATATAGAGAAACACATTAGTTCACTAACATAAATAGTTGGGTTTGACTCCCTCAAGTTGAATGCATTTTCTCAATTTCTTTTGCTCAAGGGTAATAGATAAACATGTTCAGCAGAACTTGAGCTTTTGTAGATCTCATGTCAGCGTGGCACTACTTTGTGGCTATTGATCAAACCTTTTGGTGTCCATGGGCAAGAAAAATCACTCTCTTGAGCATACTTTGGGATTCATCTGCTAGCATCTGGATTTGGTCTGCATATCCTACACATAATTGTGTAGAGTGCTCTTTCAGTTGGTTGATTGCTCTTTCTATTTACTGCAGAGGGTACAACCACAAATGGAGACTTCCTCCTTCCTTTTAAGACTGGTGCATTTCTTTCGAAAGCTCCAGTGCTTCCAGTGATTTTAAGATATCCATACCAAAGATTCAGTCCTGCCTGGGACTCCATATCTGGGGTGAGTATTTCTTTCACAATTCCAACTTCCATGATCTCTACAAAATCCAGATAACGAAAGCTGAGTTTACATATGTGACATTAATTTGAATTAAAAGATTAAGTCATTAGTCACATCATGGCCATGCTTATATTTGTTTTTGCTCTGTTTTTAACGAAATTATTATTGTGAATTAGGATTACATGTTTTATTCACCCAATGATTTCGCATAGGCTTGCAAAAGTTTCATTTTGGTTTTTGTATGTAAGCCAAGCAAATAATTTTGTCCTGTAGTGAAAAGTTATTCATGATGTTAGAACCTGTGGGTACTTATACCATGCCCAACATGTGCTGAGCCCTACGGACGCCACGTCATCGCCATCACACCTCCACGTGGTAGACCTCCGAGGCACTAGTGTGGAGTTGCCACCCTAGACAAAAGAGCTCCAACGCAAATGAGTCAAAGTATGAAGAGCTCGACATGACTTGTGCAACGGAGCCAAGCTCTATTGCTCAGCACCACCATGGTTCACCTAGAGCCCTCACTTGCCGTGGTCCTTTATACCTCATTCCAATAGGGAACACACTCTGTACTCCTGCAGCATAGCTGGGCCTTTGGCTTACCTATGTTCACTATGTGCTCACTCATTCTACTTAACCACTTAGTTGCTTGGTTGGGAGTAGGGCCTAGGCACCCTCGCTTGGGATCATTGGAGGATTGTGGAATGGAGGCTAAGACCATGGATTCGTCAAGGTTGCTTGGTGTCTCCCTGCAGTGATAGCTCTACTTTGACCAGGTTTAAAGAGGGCAGACGTTGACCTTACACACATGTATGCTGTATTCATGATACTACTTGAGATATCATACTGCCAGACTGAATCACAGGCACAACAACTAGGTTGATATCAGCTCCTTGTTGAGTTGAGGAGAGCCTGCCACCTGTCAACAGGTTGCTTGGGCTCCAATACTCCGAGAACCTATATAATGTGTTATGAATGCAACGACCCACACAACACCACTCCAACGCTGTCATCGTATCAACACAACCATCCAAATGTTCAAGGTCTTCCATTGCCACCCTCCCTATCTCTAAGGCTGCCTTTGTCTTCTCCTCCTTCACCTCCAATGATCTTGAGTCATTAAAGGGCTCGCCATCCTCCTAGAGGTGCACAACTGACCACCTCAAAATCTAAAAGAGTAAAAAATGGGGCGTAGTCTTCCTTTCGTTTTTTTTTTTTTTTTTTTTTTGTGAATAACTGGATTACTCCAACTCGCTCTCAACTACTAATAATGCAAAGCATTACACTGGAGGAAATGATTGTGCAATAAAAAAAAAGAAAAATTATAAACTTGTGGACATTGTCATTTAGTCAGTGACTTTCTACTGTGGTGACATGAGATACTACACACTATTTAATTTAAGGAAATGATTGTGCAATAAAATAAAAGGAAAAATATAAACTTGTGGACATTGTCATTTAGTCAGTGATTTTCTAATGTGGAAACATGAGATACTACACGCTACTTAATTTAAGGAAATGATGGTGCAATAAAATAAAAGGAAAAATATAAACTTGCGGACATTGTCATTTAGTCAGTGATTTTCTACTGTGGTGACATAATGTCTCTCATTGGCAGGTGCGCCATATTATGTTACTTCTCTGTCAATTTGTAAATTACCTCGAGGTTACCAGGTTACCTGTCTACAGCCCTTCACAACAGGAAAAGGATGATCCAAAACTTTATGCTGAAAATGTCCGAAGGTTGATGGCTCGTGAGGTATGCACTTCCCTTCAGGTTCTGATTATAAAAGGGGTAAATATGAACTGAGTTATATTTTCCTCGTATGCGACAATTACCTAACTGCAAGTGGCGAGTGGCAACAATGCCGAACCATGTGCTAGAAAAAAAATCCCAATTCTATGACGTGAATTTTTCCTTATATGCGACAAATACAACTCATAGTTTTCCTAACTGCAATTGATGAGTGGCAACAATGCTGAACCCCACGTGCCAGAAAAATTGTTCCAATTCTGACCTCAATTTCTTGAGCTCTTCATGAAATTTAGGCCTTGCAGGAACACCTTTAAATGACTGTCAGCTTTAAGGGGTATTCTATTTCTGTATTTTCAAATGCCCCATACGATGAATGACCCTACCAAAAGAAAAGACGAACACAAACTAAACAGAAGGATGGACCTACAAGATATAAATAAGCTTTGCACAGAAGGCACTGAAGTTATTTTTACAGAATGTCTGAGACTGAGTTATGACATGGAAATCGAGAGTTGTAGGTCCAGTTGAAGGGATGTTCATAGAGTGTCTGTGTTATGACATCAAAACCCTGAAATGTAGGTGTAACTTTAGCTAGATGTTTGGAAGCCAGGCTCCAGGAAAGCCCTATATAGAATCCTCTTTGAAGTTTACTACCATTTCCAAAATGATACCATACTCATGATATTGTGATTAAAATCCCCCCATAAGGGAATGGTTTCAACAATCAATTTTCACTACATCTTGGGGACCAATCAATTAATGACTAAGCCTGTACAGGTCTCATCAGTTCGGGTTGCTGGGAGGGTGAAGTAATCTCTGGCTTTATGCATATGAAATGGCTGCTTTACTCTCATTCTCAAACTACCTGAGTTTTTACCATCGCACCACTGGCCCCATGTTCTACAAAACCATAAACCTACAAATTATTTATTTATTTTTGTAAATAAGGCATTTTATAAAAGAAACATAAGCCTATAATCACACATATGAAATGGGTGGTAGCCCCTAGATTAGGCAATGGAAGTGAGATGTGGCACTGAATTCCTTAATATGGCTTTGGGTTAACCTGGACTCTTTTTGAAAGACTGTTAGACCATGAGAAAATGGTATATGTGTAGTTCAAACTACTTGCTAAAGGCGGTGATTTTAATTTTTATGGTACATCAATGTTTTTTGTTTATTTTTTGAGGAAAGAAAGGCTGGCAGTTCACATATACTTTGAACTTTAAAATAAAGAATTGTTGTCTGCATCACACTAGTCAAAAACAAAAAAAAATGTACAGTAGGCAATTTTACTGAATAACCAATGTGAATGATTAAAATGAGGGGATTGCTAAAGCTTTTCCACCGAGAAATTAGGACATCCTTATAATTTTTCACCAATATAATCTGAGCCATGTTCTACACCATTATAATGCACACTTCAAAATTTCATGGAAACCTTTGTAGAATAACATGTCAAGGTGGGCCATATTTATCTTCCCAGTCATTTCAAAGTGTCACAGAATGATCCGTGGCATATTTACAACATAGCAAATGTTTGGGTTCATAAGGGATGGCCTAATTGTGGATTTATTATTGTTCTGATTTCTGTCCAAAGAAATAAGTTGATTTTATAGTTCTAATGGTTGTGAATTGGGTGTCATGACAAAGGCATGTATTATTCTGGATTTTCTTTAAGTTTGAGAGCTTGGTTAGATGGGTTCTTATTTTTGTGGTTAGATTGGTTTTGAGATGCTTGCTTTGCTTCTTAGTTGAATGGGCCTTTTACAAGACATTTATGGGATTGTAAAAGTTACTTGAACATTATGCGTACTGTAATGCGCTAAAACAGCAGAGTAGGATTCTTAATTTTGGCTTGTAACATCTGGAAATAGGCCCTGTTGCTTTTCTGGACCGATTATTTTTCTTAAGATGGAGTGCTTGTCCACCACACAGCTCTTCAAATTGTCAGGGATGCACTTGTCCCAAAAGCAATCTGGTCTAGCCTATGGCAAGAAGATTTTGCCCCCATATCATGTGATTGATAATTGTCAATTTAATGGATGCAGAAATTTTAAACTACTGTTGGACTGTTGAGCTCTATCCTTTCAAAAGTGCTGTTTTATTCAATTATATATCTTGCCAATTGGGCTTCATTTGCTGTTCTGTTTTGCTTGCAGGGTAATCTGACAATGTCAGATATTGGTTTGGCAGAGAAACGAATATATCATGCTGCTCTCAACGGCAGTAATAATAGACTGCCTAGTGTTTTGCATCGGAAAGACGATTGATAACATCATGGCCTCGCCCTCAAAAGATATCTAGCCCCAGTTGGGTTTCTTAGTCCCCTTGGTATTTTACTTTTGATTACACAAATATATCATGCTGCTTTCGACAGTAACAGTAGCCTGCCTGGTGTTTTGCATGACTGCTAATTTCATGCCCTCAAAAGATATATAGTCCCAGTTGGGCTTCTTAGCCCCTTTGCTTTTGAATATGGACTGAAACAAAATAAAAAAAAAATAAAATTTGGTATGCTATTAGACTCTTGTAATGTTCTAATCCACAGTAACATGGCCATAAAAATAGATTTCTATGCTTTTTGTCAAATAAGCATCCAGTTTATAAGTTTTGTTGGTTATAATGTTTTATTCATGCTCGATGGACTTTTTAATGCTGTAGAACCCATCTAGAAGAAATATGCATCTGTTGTTAATCTGAAGTTTGTGTTCCTGCAGGTTTGTTTTGCCAACAGTAATTCGGATTCGTCATCTGTATAATCATTGTATGAGTATTATATACAAAGAGGAATAGCTAATTTTAAATATAGAAAATTGTGCTCATACAAGCATAACAGATGAAAAATGCAATCTGTTTGGACTTGGGATTGCTTGGCATTCCCCAAGCTGGACTTTCTGATGTTTCTGCATTTGCTTTTTTTGTTAATAGAGAAGTGGGGTTATTTTGGTTTAAGTGGCTTGGGTATGTATGTCTTCAATAGCTGTTTCCAGCATTTTGACCATTGATGTATTGTATCTCATGGTTTCACTTCCTCCTCAAGAAGCTGCAATTTTGCTTACAAATGGTCTTTCAATGCAGAAATTATCACATGGATTCGGAACACCATTTGGCTGTCCGACCAGTGGTGTTTTGTGATTTGTTCACTTTTATTTGTTTTTCAGATTTCGTAAGCATATAGCTCATGTTATTGAACAGACAACCAACATAATTTTCCAAGAAAACATGATAATTACTCGACATGGTATGGGTTATTGGAGGATGTGTTTGGGTGTTGGTGCTTTTTCCGAGTCGAGAGCTTCTTATGGTGGATCTAGGTATGGAGATATATCAATCATATCAATGTCATTCTCCTAAGAATGGAGCCAAGTTCATGGTTTCGAGAAGTTATTTCATATCCCTTTTGTTCAATCTGTGATCTATAGAGCTGGTGAAATTCAATGATTTGTTGTTAGGGGTGGGGCAGACAAAGGGAGCTAAATGAATGATGATTGGTGTGTGGCATGTGACTTAGTGCTCCAAAAGGCATTGAATAATTTTCCTACAGTTTCATTTGTTGTATGTATTTGTGTCTTTTCGACTACTGGTCATCTTGATCATCTTTTATAATATTTTTATACTCTGTCTAGTTTATGAATTTAAACATAGAAAGAAAAAAACATATGTGAAATACGAGTAAAATATAATTATATCTTACACATTTTCTCGCTTTTTAAATTTCTTTTCAAATTTATGAAACAAACACAACCTTAAATGATGAAGAAAGACGCCAATTTGAGTTTGCATGTTGATGGTCAGTAATCATGGAGAGATCCGAAGAAATTTATGAGAATAAACGATGGTTTGCGTTGCATGAATATCTTGTCTGAAGAAATTTCTCATTAAGGTGATCAATCACAGGCACAGGCAGTGTGCTGAACAAACTCAAGTTTGCAATGAGATCCGAAGGCTAAAATCCAACTCAGGCAAACGATAGAAACCAAACCAACCAAACCTACAAAAATGTTGTCAGTACCACTTGTTCTCTCTATTCATCTGTAATCAACAGAGGCCTTCCATCTTTTTTGTTTGCCACAATGCTCAACCAATATTTGATTTTATTTTTCGGTTACTTGGGTTGAATCCACTTAGAAGCCTTGGCTTATTAAAAAGCTAATCACCTGCAGCATTCAGGCTAGAAACACATTTACACAAGCAGTTTCTGTTTTTGTTTTTTGGCTTTAGCAGAGAACTTCTGTCACACAAACTGAATCCTATTCACTCTTGAAATCTGCAAATATTTGGATCAGAGTAGACCACACAAAAGGGGAGAGTTTTTGTGCTGACCGCTACAAATAATTTCTTGTTCCCTGCTCCTTCCTTTGTCGGACTTTAACTACTATCTGATCAGACAAAGAACAGCTCTACCCAAATAAGGTTCCCTGCCCTAATGGTATCAATGACCAGGTATATGTTATCAGTTGGTTTCGCGAAAAAAAACTTCTGTTATGGAAGGAATCTTTCCAAGTTGCTTTGACTTCTCCCGAAGCAGGTCTTCCTGAACTTGTTGATTTGAGAAAGTTACGGGAAGGCAGTTCTGAGAGGCATCCCTGCTTGGAACTCAGTTACGCAACAAGTTACTCACTTGTAAAGAGTGCTTTTTCCTATAGTGATCTTAAAAGTCATTTTTTAGATGGCTGGGATTAAATTCTACAAAAGTTTGAAGGTACAATTTTCAAAAGTTGACAGTACCACAGCCATACAAAAGATCACTCTAGGAAAAATCATCACGGGCAACATTTGGTGGCCTAAACTGCTTTTAGGTTCTGTTCTTTTAAAAAACTAATAATTAGCATAAGCGAATTTTGACAGCAGAACATAATGCTACAAGGATCAAAGGCATAAATTACTCTACAAATAAAAAGAAAATACAACATGATGGCAAGCTACCTGCTTTCTCCTCACAGCTAAACAACACCATGTTTTACACACTCCCTGCCCTTTCCAACCAATTCTTGATGAGGAGAGATTTCCAAGAAAAGGATTTGAAAAGGTCATCATGGTCACTTACCTTTCCTTCAGTGAGCCATTGTTAGACTTTCTCAATTCCCATGGAGGTAAGCAGCCTTTTAAGGGAGACTGTAGAAACAACGACGATGTTGATAACTGCCTTTGCCTAGTTGAGATAGACGATAGACAACTGAACGCAGTTGTTAGCCTTCTTTTCTCACTATCGCATGCTTTGTAACTTGGATCATGTTCCACTGCAGATATTTTAAGTGCTTTGGGTAGTACACAATTGAAGATCGAACCTGGCAGGATAAATGAACAAGAATGAACAAAGTTACATAAAATACATGACCTAATGGGTTACTAACTTCATGAAACATGATGGTAAACTATGCTTTTGATAGGTCCTCCCACCTAAGAGATCATCTTTCACCACAAGCCTACGTGATTTAACACCAATTCTGTTCTCCACTTGTCCCCTGAATTGTATGGAATTTTTCACGAGTTCATATGTTTCGTTTCGAGAAAGGACTCAATTTGGCAAAATTGTCGAGTCTGTGGATAATTGCAGAATCATGGAGGAGCAAGTGGTCCTGTGCTCTGGTGTAAGTGAAAATTGTGGCCTACTTGCACCAGAGTAAAGGCTCTGCTTGTGCCTCTATGCTTTTGCCGTTACTTTCACTTCTTTCTGATAATTGCAAAATGACAAAGGGAATAAAAAGTTGAGATAGAATTCCATGAAGTAACGAAGTACCATTTTTTTTCCCTTCTGTTTTTTGACATATGTAAGAAAGTACTCCACTCTAAAGTGTAACCCAATCTATTTAGGTTTGATGAGTAAAGATTACCTAATTTTGCCAGGCGATTTACCCATTTTGGAATTGTTTTCCCGGTCAGCTTGTAGCAAATGTCCTTGCAAAAATGGTTGCAGTTCTTCACGATCAAGTGATATGTATCGCCATTGTAGTTTGTAGAGTGGCGCTCCATGAACTCCCTTACCTGGACTGTGTCCAAGCATGTAGTTCCAATGAGTATCGACTTCCTAAACTTGAAGCCTGGGCATTGCCGAGGTTCAACCTCAAACACGCCACTAGATGGATAGTCATGAGCTCCAAAGGCATATTCTACTCCATGAACTGAAACGTGCAAGCAGGATAATCGATATTATCTACCTCATTTAAAGATTCAGGAGCAATATACAAAGAGTAATCGAATAACAATGAAATTTGCTGTTTGCAACACAATTAATCAATTCTACTGATCAGCAACACTTTGCCAATGAAGTGCCCACAGTAAGGGGACTTTGTATCTATTTTTAGCAATAGGACAAGATTTCATATATCTCTCAAGATTTCTGGATGAATTATAATTTGGGTAAACAACACAAATGATCCCTAAAGTATACCAACAATTTCATTTTAGACCCTAATCTTTGAGGCATAATTGCTCAACCACTTGATGACAAAAGAAACTACTACTATTACAAATTTCTTTTCACCTAAGATATGCTCCTCACTCCAAAAGAAATGAGCTAGCCTCTCAAGCTATTAAGAGATAGTAACTTGCTATAAATTAGATATATAATGCAAGTGTAACAGTCTTTCCAGTAACATGTCCATATTCATGCTCGAGTAAAAAAGCTTATTCACAGGGGTTGCTCACTAACACCAACTCATGAGAGCTTCTATTTGCACACACCAATTCCCCTCAGTGCACACACTTAATGAATTTTTCTAATTTCCATTAAGAACAACTTTTATCTTTCTCTAATTTCTCAATACACATCTCACCAGACACCCACCACCATCTCACCAGCCACTCCATTGCCGACTGCCACCTTCGAAGTCCAACCTCCACCACACCCATCCTCTTTCATCACTCCCGCACCTCCTCTGAGTCTCCAACCTCTCCACCCTATCCTCTCTTTCTCCCAATCGATGATGCACATTACCACCCCCAAACTCTATCCTCTCTCTCAAACTGTTCGAACAACCAGGCAAATCGTTGTCGTTCGGATATCAATCATTGAACCAACAAATTTTGTTTGGGTATCAACTATCAAACCTATACGGTTTGCTTAAATATCAACCATCCAACCAATTTTGGGGTTTGCAGAAGTTGGGTTCACGGTGATGGCATGTGTGGTTTGTTAAGATCGCAATTCAAATTTTATGATCGCACTATCCAATATATATAAATCAATCTGAATCGCACTTTGGATACGGTCTATTTAAGATACATTTTTTGGCATATTTTACCATTTGTTTGACAACTGTAAGTCAAAATACGCATTATCTGAAGAGAAGAAAAAATATTACTCTCTCAAGTCCGAAGAGGACATTGATTAGGGCAAGAAAAATTGGGGGAAAGAGAGATTGGACCTCAATTGAGCTTCAATTTTGCTAGAACTTGGAAACTCCACAATCAAAACCCAGATACTATTCTTCTTCTTCTTCACCTCTTCTTTTTGTCTGCATTCGAATTCAAATCCTCCTTCTCTTCCCCCACCCCCTCTTCCCCCTCTATCTTCTTCTTTTTTCCTTTTGCTGCTGCTATTCTGCTTCTGCTTCTACTTCTCTCTGTTCAAATTCAAATTCGAATTGGATCTCTGCCTCTTCTTTTTCCTTCCTGTGTTCGTCTTCTTTTTTCCTCCTCTTATCTATGTTCGAAATCAAATATGCCTTTTTGTGTGTGTGTGTTCATTTTTCCTGCTTCTTCTTCCTTGTTTTTTTCCCCTCTTGCATGTTTCTTTCTTCTCCTCAATGACTGCGTTCTTTTTTCTTTCTTTTCCTCGTCTACTTTGTTTTAAATTCACATTCTCTTCTTTTTTTTTCCCCTTCCTATTTTGATTTTCTATCTTCTTCTTATGTTTGTTTATGCTTCTCTCTATTTTGTTTTCTCTTCCCAATTCCCCACTCTATTACTGTTATTCTATTTTTCTGTCTGTTCACTTTGCTGTGTTATTTTTCTCTCCTTTCCAATTTTACACTTTGTTACTGTGCTCTGCTTCTTTTTTTTTTCTTTTTTTTTTTGGGTTATCTCTGCTACTATTAATTGGCAATGGATTTTAGTGGAATTAGGCATTGTAGGCACTGTGTTTGTAGCTTAATTATTAAAACTTATCTGTCACAATTTGCAGCACAAGTAGCATCACAAACACAATGTCAAGCATCTGGTTCTTGTTCTGGAAGAGGGAGGAAGAGGAATGTAAGAATTTATGTATTATTGATTGAGATATATTTGTTGTTATAATTACAATGATTCATGATTCCTATATATAGAAGAGGATGAGTGTGTAGTAGGTAAGAAGTAGGTGAAGTGGAGGTGGTAGTGGTGTAGTGGGTTAGCTTTAGTGGAGTAGGTGAGGTGGTAGTGGTGTAGTGGGTTAGGTTTAGTGGAGTAGGTGAGGTGGTAGTGGTGTAGTGGGTTAGGTTTAGTGGAGTAGGTGAGGTGGTAGTGGTGTAGTGGGTTAGGTTTAGTGGAGTAGGTGAGGTGGTAGTGGTGTAGTGGGTTAGGTTTAGTGGAGTAGGTGAGGTGGTAGTGGTGTAGTGGGTTAGGTTTAGTGGAGTAGGTGAGGTGGTAGTGGTGTAGTGGGTTAGGTTTAGTGGAGTAGGTGAGGTGGTAGTGGTGTAGTGGGTTAGGTTTAGTGGAGTAGGTGAGGTGGTAGTGGTGTAGTGGGTTAGGTTTAGTGGAGTAGGTGAGGTGGTAGTGGTGTAGTGGGTTAGGTTTAGTGGAGTAGGTGAGGTGGTAGTGGTGTAGTGGGTTAGGTTTAGTGGAGTAGGTGAGGTGGTAGTGGTGTAGTGGGTTAGGTTTAGTGGAGTAGGTGAGGTGGTAGTGGTGTAGTGGGTTAGGTTTAGTGGAGTAGGTGAGGTGGTAGTGGTGTAGTGGGTTAGGTTTAGTGGAGTAGGTGAGGTGGTAGTGGTGTAGTGGGTTAGGTTTAGTGGAGTAGGTGAGGTGGTAGTGGTGTAGTGGGTTAGGTTTAGTGGAGTAGGTGAGGTGGTAGTGGTGTAGTGGGTTAGGTTTAGTGGAGTAGGTGAGGTGGTAGTGGTGTAGTGGGTTAGGTTTAGTGGAGTAGGTGAGGTGGTAGTGGTGTAGTGGGTTAGGTTTAGTGGAGTAGGTGAGGTGGTAGTGGTGTAGTGGGTTAGGTTTAGTGGAGTAGGTGAGGTGGTAGTGGTGTAGTGGGTTAGGTTTAGTGGAGTAGGTGAGGTGGTAGTGGTGTAGTGGGTTAGGTTTAGTGGAGTAGGTGAGGTGGTAGTGGTGTAGTGGGTTAGGTTTAGTGGAGTAGGTGAGGTGGTAGTGGTGTAGTGGGTTAGGTTTAGTGGAGTAGGTGAGGTGGTAGTGGTGTAGTGGGTTAGGTTTAGTGGAGTAGGTGAGGTGGTAGTGGTGTAGTGGGTTAGGTTTAGTGGAGTAGGTGAGGTGGTAGTGGTGTAGTGGGTTAGGTTTAGTGGAGTAGGTGAGGTGGTAGTGGTGTAGTGGGTTAGGTTTAGTGGAGTAGGTGAGGTGGTAGTGGTGTAGTGGGTTAGGTTTAGTGGAGTAGGTGAGGTGGTAGTGGTGTAGTGGGTTAGGTAAGGATGCGCGAGCAGAGATAAGTGTGCTAAAGACAGAAAACAAGGAGCTGAAGCGGAAGGCCACCGTGATGTTCCGTTTTGGAGGTCCACCATATGCTGCAGTGGAGGAGCAGGGAGTAGTGATCATGCCCAGTGGAGTGGGAAATACGGAGGCAACTCCGGCAAGGGCCGCCCAGGACGGAGGCAAGAAGAAAAGACCGGCGGCAGAGTAGAGAAGAAAATCCTGCCTGTGGATGTGTGTTTGTATTTGTTGTTTTTGTTTTGTTTTTTTTTTTGTGTAAAATTGTGATCGGGGTTGATCCCGTCATAACAAAAATGATATGTTTGTGAAATGAAAACCGAGATGGTTGTGAATCTTTTTTTTTTTTTTTTTTTTTTTTTATCAATGTTTCATTATTATACAAAAGATAGAATAAAATAAAATAAAATAAAATAAAAGTAGGGATAGGAAAAATATATTATAATAAAAAAAATATATATTAAAGAAAGTGAGAGATGTGGGCGGTGGATGAAAACATGTGAGAGGCATTGTGTTTAAATAAAATAAAAGAAAGGAAAAGAGGTGGACAAAAGTTGGTGGATAGTTGGATGAAGAGAAAGAAAGAAATAAAAGAAGAAAAGGAAAATGGGTTTGAAAAAATTAGAGAGAGATGCTCAGGAGGTGTTGTGTAAAGCGTGAATTGAAAGATGAAATAAAATAATAAAAAAGAAAGGTGGGTGGTGTGGGTCAGCAGCACACATCATGTTCTTTGCATTCCACATGTGCTAGCAAATGCAGAAGAAATGGGAGTATCAGGATCCATTGCATAATAGGGTACTAGACCAACAATGACCACGGAAACCAGCATATACAACATACAACATATAGATAGTGCAGCTGCTATACCCAAGGTCAAATCTCGTTGAGGATTCTTCACCTCCTCTGCAGTACTGGCCACTGAATCGAAACCAATGTATGCAAAGAAGACTGTTGCAGCCCCAGCAAGCATCCCATCGACCCCAAAAGGGAAATACCCAACAGGAAGTTCGTAGCCAACCCATCCAGTCTTGAAACCCAAATATCCACCCGCTATAATGACAAAGAGCGTGGCACACTGCCCATTGCATCCCATGGCCAGATCATCAGGGTCTCCATGGACAACAACAGCCCTTCCAATGATGGAATTTGGGCCACAGAGAGGGATCTGTTTGTCAACAATGGTGAAACATGCAGTGTCATCTGCACCAACTGTGATGTTGCCAAGGTCACCGGCATGGCGATTCTCATTCTCAGGAGCACCATGCAGTTTGCCAGCAGGATTAAAATGTGGTCCAGTTGACATGCAACCATTCGTTGTATCACCAAGAGCATGGACGTGGAAACCATGAAGTCCAGGTTTAAGCCCAGAGACGCTTCCGGTAACTGTAGTTGGACCATCTCCTTCTTGAGTGAAGTGTACAGTGCCACTGACACCTTCACTGCTGTTCAGAACAACGACAGCCTTCACCATTGTTATAGCTTGTGTGTGATCTCAGAACACCCCTCGAGAGAGAGTCAACAGACGAACAAACAAATATGTGATTTTTGTTGTGAAAAAATTAAGTGGTTGATGGCTGTATAAATGTTCTGATCTTGAAGGTGACCAAGATGGCAGCGTAGTCAAGGTATGTGTAGAGAATTTTAGCGGACTAGGTTGAGGTCCGGCGGGCAGCCAAGGCGAAGTTACCGCCCGCCGGTGAAGCAAAAATATTAGGTTCTAAACCTGCTCTGATACCATGTAAGAATTTATGTATTATTGATTGAGATATATTTGTTGTTATAATTACAATGATTCATGATTCCTATATATAGAAGAGGGTGAGTGTGTAGTAGGTAAGAAGTAGGTGAAGTGGAGGTGGTAGTGGTGTAGTGGGTTAGCTTTAGTGGAGTAGGTGAGGTGGTAGTGGTGTAGTGGGTTAGGTTTAGTGGAGTAGGTTTAAGTGGGTGAAGTAGGTGTGATAAATTTTAACAAGGAAAAATGCTGCTAGTCACATTGAGACGCCTTCACGAGTAGAAAGGTGCATTGTCCTCTTTATTTACATCAAACAAGTGGAGGAACAGTCCATTTGCAAGGTTTGAAAAGGAGGAAAGATTGAAGATATTATTTTAGATAATCGTAATTTTTGGTAGGGCATTTCTATGAGCTTGAAGGTTGTAGTACCTCTCATTAAGGTACTTAGGTCTCGTTTAGGAACCTTCCCTTTTAGCCAAAAAGTCAAAAAGTTACTAAATTAGTCAAAAAGCCAACAACCCATACCAAAAAGTCAAAGATTCTCTTTTCTCTCTACTTTTTGCACATCTTTTCGTAAAAAACTAAAAAGTCATCCCAAAATACTAATTTTTTTTTAGCTCATATTTTAGCCAAATAGCCAAAAAGTTACTAAATTAGCCTGTTCCCAAACGAAGCCTTAGTTTGGTGGATTTGTATGAGCATTTGGTGATGGGATTCATTTATGACACAATGGATCGTGCGAAAGAGTAATATTTTTCTGAAGCTGAATTGAGGTCCAATCTCTTTCCCCAATTTTTCTTGCCCTAATTGATGTGCAGACTTGAGATAATAATATTTTTATTCTCTTCAAAAAAATATATATATATATATACGCTAATCTAACTTGGGTGATTTATCAATTATTTATTTATTTTTTATTCTCTTTAGATAACGTGTATTTTGACTTACAGTTGTCAAACAAATGGTAAAATATGCCAAAAAATGTCTCTTACACAGAATTGCACATAATCGCGATCCCGAATTGATCCCAAAATCTTGACCAAACGTGCACCAATCCTAACATACACCCAATCCAAAGTGTGATTCAGATTGCTTTATATATATTGGATCATAATCCTACGATCCAGATAGCGATCTTAACAACCATGGTTCACCTATATTCTCTCTTTCTCTTTCTAAATCCCTATCCAAATCTATAAGTGTGTGCAATACGGGGAATTAGTGTATGGAAATAGAAGCTACCCCAACTCATGGATCCAACAGTGGTTGTAGAATATTCCTTCAAAGGACAATGGACCCAAACTTATGCCATTAAAGATGATGTGCATATCCGCTTAAGGTGTACAACAAGCCCATTCAAAACTTCTCCATAAAAACAAAAAACTTTGTTTAGACTATTTACTTTATTATATGACAAAATTGAATACAAGTGGGGTCTTGAATTAGACACCAAGATAGTCACTCGGGTTGGGAGACCAATCTAGTTAACTTGATTAGCATCCACACTAAAAAGGCATATTAGGTTCTGCCACACTTTTGTGCTATATTTGGTAAAAGGTATGGAAACTAGAAGGAAGGGAAATAAAGAGGGATGGAAAACGTAACCTAGGAAATACATTGATTCATCCCTCCTAATTGTTTAGTTGAGTGAAAAGGGAAGGAGGAAGGAAAAGAATAAGTTTTTGGTGCTTTTACAATTATACCTTATGTCATTCAAACTAAGGAGAGATTTAAGGACAAATTAGTCATTTCACATTTTTTAAAGAGGAAGAGTTATTCCTTCAACTCATCCATCCAAACTTTTTGGGGCCAGACTGCTCTTTCCTCCTCTTTTCTCTTCCATTCCCTCATCCCTCTTACCAAACAAGGGATAGTGTCTCGTTCCCTCTGTCCCCCTTTCTTTCTTTTCATCTTTTCCCTATCGAATGCGAAATTAGAGAGGTAATTGTCAAGCCAATAGGTTACTCAACAATAGCATGACATCAATTACAAAGGGGCTTAAACATCCACAATCAACACCACAACAAAATTTGGGGTTTTGCCCTTGAAACCAAAATTAGTTGTTACATGTCACCTAGAAATTTTGCCTTTACCTGACCATTTACTTGAATTGTGAAAGCCAGAAGGCCATTACTAGGTACAATAGACCTTCTCTTCACTTTTTGTAGGTCTCATACCACAACCATTCAAGAAGACCCAATATGACAAAATCTCAGTTTGAAGACTTCGCAATGAAGAGTTGATCATTTCAATTATCCTAGACTCCTAAGATCAGCTGGAGTTATCTATTTCTGTCATCTATCATTCCACACATGTAAGAAGAATGACAAGCCAGTTGCTCTGCTATGAAATTGTGAATCAAAATCAACATTAAGAACTGAAAAGAAACAACAATGCTATAAATGCACCTATCTTTACACCCAAAACACACCACTATAGATAGAATGGGTGTGTGGGCTCCACACACATATGGAAAGAAACCATATCTCCTTGAATCATAGTTCTGATTAAATGTTGTGCAGACAGCATTGTCAATAGACAATAAACACAAATCATATGGACAGATTGTCCAAGATAGGTATAACTTATGCTCATTTTAGTACTAAACACAACAACACTAGGTTCATAATTATAGATAGAAATTTAAAAAATATATATATGGAAAAAAAAAGAAAAATGAAAATTGAAGAAACAAACATAGGATGAAAATGAAGTACTTATAAAAATGGATAAAAATAGAGTGCGAGATCTTACCTTCCACACCAGAGTGAAAGATGCCAAAACCAGCCCAATAGACATAGCCATTCATGTGTGTCAAGTCATACACATTGAGATAAACTGGTGTGTTGCCTGGACCATAACTAGCTTTTTTGACTTTTGGAAATATGCAAAAACGGGTGGCCGATTTTCCTTTCAAACGGAATGGCACTTTCAGTTTCCATACTTTCTTTGATCCAAATTTCATGTTGCTACTAAAGTGAGACCAGGAGTCACTCAAGGCCGGTAGTAATCTGTACATATGGACAAATCTAGAAACATAAGACCTATAATGAAAAGAAACCACCATAGAGGAATGAAGAATAAAAGCATTTTTGAGAGAGAGAGAGAGAGAGAGAATTTAATTCTATTCTCAAAAGAATAAAATTGGAGGTTACAGATATTTTAATTTTCTATTTGACATTTCTAAGTTCCATTTTATATTTTCTTCACCACGTACAAGTCAACTAGTTCTCTTCATACATAATAGTCAATGATATTAGGTCATTTTTGTAGTTTATATACTTAATACATTACCAAAAAAAAAATTAACTGGCTGACAAATCTACCCTATACAACTCAATGGTTATAGTTTTCATTCCATATGTTTGAATCACAAGGGCATATACAAGCTTTCTCCAGTGCTTCTGAAGTGAGTAGATGCAATATACGTCACTTTTGCCCCCACCACATGGAGTGTGCAAGCTACATCCTTCATCCAGTGATCCAGAGGAATTAGTCTCGCGTCCAATGGCAATGGGACACTCCAAGATCCCCCCAAGATAGGGAAAAGAAAAACAATAAATATCATTTGCAGGTAACTCTAATAAATTTGAGCAGGGAAAATGATTTTATTTATAAATTGTTGTTAATCCTAAATGGTATCAATGAGTTAATGATTGACAATGCACCAGTTTACTTTAGTACTTCAGAATGTAGGAAACATAATCCAAAATCTTGACATAGATGGAGATGGAGAAACGTTGGAGATTAAACCAAGCTCACACTTTGTCAGGATTACTTAAGTATTTTGACGGATAGTTTATAATGCTTCTTTCAAAAGGTGATTTATGTTGAGAAATCTCAAATTTGAGGCTTTGGTTCGCTGGTTAGTTCCTGACTATAATAAGAGTGGTTTTATAGGGAAGTCTATAAGACTTATTTAGGTTATTCTGTCAGAAAGATGACATAATATTATTTAAGGGTTGAGTTTTAAAAGCAGCCACTTTGTCCATATTATGCCCAAGTTTAGGACTATTTCCAGTCTACCATCTGTCCAAACACTCTAAATTATTGGGACCCGGCACTTGGGTTATGTCCTAATCCATCTCCTTCCTACTTTATTGGTTTGTTCAAGTGTACATAGCTTAAAATGTTACCCAGAACATCAGCCAAAAGCCTAACATTCAATGTCATCACAAAACAGGAAGCTTTTCAAGTGCATCTATGCACAAAGACAAGGTGTTAAATGCTCACAAATATCTTAACGAGAAAGTTCTCAACTGAGAAAGGTAGTAGTAATTGGTGAAACTAAAATTTATATATGTCCAAACAAAATAATTAAATAAAGGTGAAAGGTTAATGAAGTATCAGAATCTACACCAGTGAACAGGAATCACCATCAATAAGCAAAATTCATGAAAACAGACTTCCGTGGTTAAATGAAAAATAAGATGCCTCATGAGATTACAGAGCATCTTCTAAATTGAAATCTCACTATCATGTCCTCAGCAACAGTACCCTCTTCTTCTGGCATAATATGTTGCTATAGAGATTTTCCTAATGGAATTTGAATGATAAAATGACACAGACATGCTCTCCTTTTCATACTCAAGAACAGATTTTCAATTAAGTTGATCTCAAACAAGACAACATAACTAGGTCAATCAAATGTTTTCAAACATAGGCTGACAATGAAAACTGACTCTTCCATTGAACAACTACCACTCTTAGAAAGGATTTTTACCATTTACTTTCCTGATTCTGGTTTGCCTCCACTAAACCAATTGATCATAATACATCTAGAGATTAACAGCGTCAAACATTCCCATTCTCCAACCACATTTTGGTCACCTTCAATTACTTCATATAACAAAGTTAATCAAGTAAGCTGACTTTAACATATTTTTAAAATATTGGATAAACACAAGGAACTTTCACCTTCCAACAGTTGTCAGCACAGAATCAAAGGAAATAAAATATTGGAGACACCAAATTCCAGAGAGAATCTAATTGAAAAGTGGGAGGCCACTACTATAGCCCCTCAAATTTAGATTTAAATATATATAGCATTTCAAATTGACTAATTTATGTAATTAGATTCTCTTAGCAACATGAATTTTCAGAGGATGTGCTGGTAGAAACATGATTGAAATCTTGTAGCGATACTTCTAAAGATGGAAAACCTGATTTCAATATGTTTATTACAAGTTTAAGTTTCAAATTACTGTGTAAAACCAAGTGACCAACAAGGACTTCAATAAGTCCAAACTCTATGAAAAAAGTTGTTTTGTTGTCATAATCCGTAAAACATACCACATGGGATCATTTGCTTACGTCATTTTCTGTAAATGATTCACCAAATCAACATAGATGCCATTTCCAAATTTAGGAAAGATTTAAAAATAAAAAAATTTAAAAAAAAATTAAGGAAAGTTCCTAAAGATTCTCAAGTGGAAAATATTATAAACAAATCTTGGAAAGTTCGGGGTCTTTAGAGAAAACATGATTTTTTATTTATTTATTTATTTTTATCAAGTAGTTCATTTTCAAATGACAAAAGAGAGAGAGAGAGAGAAAGTTCGTTTTGTGATATTACAACTCTAAATGTAGCAACTCATGAAAATAGCTGTTAAAGAATATTCTTTAAGTAGTTCAGAAATTTCTTATAATCTCAGTCCATATCTATGTTACCTTGAAGACTTGACTTTATATGTTATCCTTCTTCCATTCATGGTGAAAGACAAGAATTTTTTTTTAAAAAAATATAAGTGTTCGTGCCTGTCATCTCTTTAGAAGATATGAAAATAAAAAGCAAAGAGAGTGCATGAGACTTCTATTGAAGTGCCGTCTAGAAAGGGCAAGATGTACGCACCTTACCCCATTTTAGAAGATACGAGAATCCATATGTTTTTATCTGCAATTTGTTTATTAGCCTAATGGGAGGTCCTGGTCATAGAACTATTGGGGACATCAACCGACTTCTGGAGTTGTCTCTCTCTCTCTCTCTCTCTCACACACACACACAATCTGAAATTAAAGTCAAAACATCAAAACAGGTCTGTATTCCAACTAATTGTAGTTGGCAAACAGAGACATTTAGAATAGTTTTTCAAACCAAATTGTAAAAAGAGAAAACCCAACAAGAACCTACTAGTTCAATTGGCCCCTACATGCATGGCACACCAAGCATATACACCACAGTTCCCTCTATTTTGCCTGTTTTGAGTCAGAGAACAATAGTCGCCATGGTCAAAACATAATATAATTTGAGCAAAATAGCTCCACTACCAACATTGTTCAAGATTGATTAAACCCAAGAAAACCCTAACTTCAAAAGCTGCATTTCCCGCAAAGAACAACATGAATTAGCTAATTCATGAACAAAACTAGGATTTTCACCATTTTTGCAAGTAAACAACCACATGAGTGACCAAGGGAAGAGGGTAAGAAGAAGAAAACAATAAAATGAAAACAACAGGGCAAAACACCCAATTATGCTTAAACTCACAGATCAGACAGATGATGGAAGCAAAAACGGCTATAAAATGGAGAGATTCTTTAAAGTTGACCCTACCCAAGAAAATGATAGAGACCCACATCACAGAAACTTGAGAAGAAGAAGAAAAGTCATGTGTTGTTTGTGTTCTGTGTGTGTGTGTGTGTGTGTGTGTGTGTGTGAGAGAGAGAGAGAGAGAGAGAGAGAGAGAGAGAGAGACTCACAGATTTGGAGAGGATTGCCATTGGAAAGGAGGCCAGAGTAAAACCACACTGTTATGTTTCTAATGAACAGAAGGCAAAACAGAGTCACAGACACTAATAGACAAAACCCAGGTAACACAAACACACACTGCTAATTTTGAAGCCACACATACATTCTACCTAGCTTTGAGCCCCAACAAATTATAAAGATGATAAAAGGAAAAGAACAGACACCCCATTTTGCAAGATAAAGACTGGACTCGTGTCTTTATCTCTCTCTTTCTCTCTCCTGTCTGTCTCTGTCTCTGTCTCTCTCAATCTAGCATTTATCTCTCTCTTGTTTGTTAGTTTATTTTTTATTTTTATATATATATATTTTTCCAGTGAATCCAACCTTCCATTGGTTGGTGGTTTGCTCCATTGTATTTTTAGAGTAAATAATTCACTAAGCTTGATTGCTTATTAATCAATAAGAGAATCTCTAAGGGTGCATTAAATTTGAGTAAAAATTTAAATAAATTTTTTTGAAGTTTTTGAAACTTCATTAGAACATGGGTTGATTGGGCAGATTACTAGACAAATGTTCGGCCGTTCGATCGGTCAGTATAAATTTTTTACAAATTTTTACTTTAAGGTGGTCATCTGGGAGTCAATCGAGAGTCAACCGATTAGTGTAATTTTTTTACAAATTTTGTACCTTGAGGTGGTTATTCGAGAACATTCGGAGGGACATCCGATGGTAAAAGTCAAATAATTATGAATAATAATTTGATAAAAGACACATTAATTCTCAGTTTGATGAAAAAAAAAATGAAATTATGAATTTGATAACTATTTGATGAAATCGTTAGAACAAGAAAATGAGTGATTTTTTTACCAAATTTAAATTTAATAATAGATTTAAATAATCATCGGAGATGATCAAAGCTAACCATTAATGCGTGCACGATGGTTATTGTTTTTGTAGCAGTGCTACATCTTACAAATTTTTTCTATAAAACTACTCTACAAAATATTTTAGTGGGAGAAATTTTTAGGAATGAATATGTTTCTTGTTTTTCTTTCTCTACAAAACATACAAAATGAAAGTGGTGGCATTATATTTCCAAAAAGGCAATTGTTTAGTATACAAATTTATGTAAAAAATAATTTGAAACTTGTGAAAAAGTTAAAAAAAAAATAATAAACTCAATGAAAAAGTGTTTTTCAAATTGATTTTTTTTTTTTCAGCAAAGTTGAATGTGAGTCGTAACGTATGGTATCTTCCAAACAAAAGGTGACTGTGACTACTAGATCTATGGTTTTTAATTAATTATCAAATTTTAAAAAACAAATAAATAAATCTCTCGACTCGGGAGCTATTTGATAAGATTAAAAATTAATATTGATTTTTTTAATTAAAAAATTATTTGATAAAACCTTGAGTCTTTAGTTAAAGAGAAAATTATTAAAAAATTCAATCTAATATTTGTTTAAAGTATTAGGTTTAAGGGATATTTTTTTTTGTTGGTGAGAGATTTATTCTTTGTGAAATAGTTTGATAAGAAGTGCTTTTGTTGGTTTTGAAAGACATTTTGTTTCAATTTTACCCTTAATTTATATGTTGACTTTTTTTTATCTGTTGTCTTTTTTTTACTATCTGTTCAATTTTTTTTTTTCTATCTGTTCAATTCTTTTTCTATATGTTGACAATTTCCCCTTATTTGTTTAAATATTTGCTATCTGTTGAATTTTACCACCTGATATGTTAAATTTTTACACCTCTTCTGTGTGTGTGTGTATATGAAGATTCTCATTTTAACTTATCTATCTATTGAAATATCTATCTGCTGAAATTCCTTATCTGTTCAAATTTCTGTCCAAATTTTATTATTTGTCCAATTTTTTCACTTATCTGTCTAAATCTATTTGTTCAAATATTTTATCTGTTCAAATTTTGAATAGATCAGATCTGTGTTATCTATCAAATTTTGTGTTTTTAATTTGTTATAATCTGTTTCATCATCATCACCATCATTAACAACAACAACAACAACAAAGCTAATGAAAAACATATCACAAAAAAAAAAAAAAACCAAAAAACAGTAATAAAAAAGAGAGTTGATATCCATTAGAGATCTCAGATCTCCTATTTACGAACAAAGAATCATTATCTTGTTATTCTCACAATCGAATGTTCTGGATCTTCATCATATTGTACACATACAACATCATCACTACGAACACTGTCCCAACGACAGTCTTGACAATGATTGGACTACTAGATCTGTGTAGATATGTAGATCTTGCGATTGATTTAAGATTTGAGCCGTGATCGATCTCTTGATGGCGATCAACGGAGATAGGGTTTTTTCGGTGGATTTTCGACAAGCCTCTTAGATCTCGATCATGAGGCAAATGTGAGGCAGACACGGCAGAGGGTGGTAGAAGAGGCCGATGGATCTTGCAGTGCACCATTAACGTCTGGATCTCATTTTCTCATCAATCGTAAAGTAGATACGCGGCCGGTGATGAGATCTTGATCTGTCTCACGAATGAGTTGTAGACTTGATGAAGGGCGACAGAAGAGAGATGCAGATGAGAAAGAGGCGGTGGTGGACTTATGATGGCTGAACTCAAATCAGAGGTCAGAGATAGTGACAGAGGTTGTGGTGGAACGGTTATGAGTGAGGGAGGGGGAGAGAGGGAGAGAGATAGAGAGAGAGATGTCTGTTTGACTAGGGTTTGATCTGGAAACAATATATCTATATAATAAGGGAAGAGGGTTTTTGAATTTATCTTAGAGACAATTGTCCTACTAGGACATTTTAACGGTCATGATTCATTTATGCTTGAAGATGGACGGTAGAGATGAAAACCTTCTCACTCACTCTAGAACTTCCCGCCCAAAAGCCACAAACTTTGCAACCACCCATTCTTATCTGTTACACCTCACTTTTCCAAATTTCAAATTTTAAAACACACCCATCCACTCCCTACAAAAAGAGAGACCCACGCTCATCAAACTCTCTCCTCTTTCATCTATGCCCAAATCCTCCAACTTTCTCATTTCAGAGAAATCCTCTTTCTTTCATATGCTCTTCTCTCTCTCCCTCTTCTCTCACGACGACATCGCCACTCACCGACTACCGAGCACCTCTCCTTGCCTCTTGCTGTCATCGCTCCTCACGACCACTGACCACCGACTCTCTTCTCTCGCCTTTTTGTTTTGCATCTCTCCTCTTGCGACGACATCGCAACCATTTAGAGGTAAACTATAACTTACAAATTTGCAATCCATGATATTTTTGTGGGTTTCTCTCATCTTGGATTTGGGTTACAGTATTTTTTGTTCTTGCTTGAGTTTGGTGATGGGTTTGATATGTTCTTTTTGGGAAATGGGTTTCTGAATTTTAGCGTTTCTTTTTGAATTATTTTTCATATGGGTTATAGAATTGAGGGTTATAGGGAGGAACATTGATTGGAAGAGAATTGAGGGTTGTAGGGAGGAACATTGATTATTATGTATGTTTGATGAGTTTTGTGGTGTGAAAGATTGAATCTGGGGGTCCGAAATGAGCACCCAAAAGCCGGTTGTGATGGTTCGGGACCTGGCTGAGGAAGCCAAGAAGTGGATTGTTTATCTGATCATATGCGTGGTTGGGTTGTCTTATCTCATGTCCTGCAAGTTCTGGGTTTTTTTGTTTCACTGAATTTTGTTGCAGATTCATCATACATTTTATTAATTAATGGTGAAGATTCATCTTTTTTAATTGGTTCAATTCGGTTATTTATTCTGGATTTTGAATTTGATTGTTGTGTTCATTTGGTTGACGGTAATTTATTCATCATGCATGATATCTTGGCCATTCTTTCCAATTTTTGTAATTGATTATATATCTTTTTGTCAGTTCCATGGAATTTAGGTATATTTTGATATACAGATAGAAATGGAGAATGTCATATATGCAGGTTCAAGGAGAACTTGCATTGGTGGATGTAACTAAAATTTAAAGCACATTTTTACATGATATGAAAAAATGAGGCTACACATTCTTGAGTTTGAAATGGTAAACATCATTAGGTTCCAGATGTAATAGTCTGTTGAAAATTTGATATGCATATTTGAGACATTTGCATTGATCATTATGAGATCAACTCATGTCACGTTCAAGTCATGGATCCAGTGATATCTTAGATTGGCAGTGAGCTTTTACTTTGTTCACTTATTCTTTCTTTTTATTTTTATTTTTCCAAAAATTTAATATCTCAATACAACATCAAGGAACCGGCAAGGACTGCTAAATATGTAGCTGAAGTCTTATTGGGGTTAGACCCAAATGGTGCTCTGCTGAATGGAACCATTAAGGGCACTACAATACATTTCGTAATTTATATATAGAAAAATTAATGTGGTTTAAATTCATTATGGTTGTAGTCTTCACATTACCTAGAATCAATTTGCATATTGATTTTGTATGCATGTTTTTGTGATTTTTATGCATACATGGAATTATTGTCGTATTTAATTTGGTTTTGGGATCTTCCCAATTATATAACTCTCCATAAGAAAATGATGTTTTATTTTATATATTTAAATTTATTATTAGCAACACATTTAATTATCTATTTCTTGACGAATTTTATTTTATTTTATTTTATTTTGAACGGATTGGCAAATTTTAATTGAAAAAACAAGAATTTTGTTACAAAAGATAGAGGGTAACTCTTCCAGATTAATGTTAAAGACTTGCACTTTGGAATTTACAATTCATTTGCAATGACATCGCAATAGAGTTGAGTTACATGATTGAATTTGTAATAAATCAAAAGTTAATATGTAATTTGTCATATCATTACATATAAAATTAGAAGAAATTTATTTTATTGGTGTGAATTCTTTTTCCAATTATTATTATTTTGTTTTTTTGGGACGTATACGATTGACCACTTCCCATCATTTATCCCCTTATTTTATTAAGGGTAGCTCTAATTTAATGGATAAATAAAAAATATTGGAAATAGCATATTAGTTGCTTTTTAAGAACAATAATTACGAAATTGAGGTGATTCACCTAAAAAGTGGCTTATCAAATAATGTCAGCTACTTCATACATAAAAAAATACTAAGAAAAATAATATATAGATCAAGAATTCAAACACAAAACAAATGTTAATAAAAGTAATGTATGTTTTAAATTCACTTCACATGTGAATTCGACTGTAACAGAGTTAAACCACACATCACTTGATTTTGGTTTTTGTTTTTGTTTTTTGATATACTATTTAGGGCTATATTTGTTTGG